GGGGGGGGGGGGTGCAAAAAAATCGAATTCAGAAATATGGCACAATTTCCAAGGTTTTTCCTTTTTTGAAGTCAAACTGAAGCTCATAATTCAATGCCTATATCGCAGGAAATGGCATTTCTAGGGTTCTAATTTTCAAATTTTTCGGGGGGCATACCCCTGGACCCCCTAGGGAGCTCGGCGCTTGAGTCGTTAGGAAGCCAATTCATTTGAATGCTCTCCCTACAACCCCTTAAAGAATTATAAAGAAACACTCGGCTGCCCGCCGAGCACCTCCTAGAAAAACCTTGCTGGATCCACCCCTGCAAATCTCACCTATTTCCTTAGAAAATGATTCTTCTATATCATCCAGAAGTTTCTGTGATCTTCGCCAAGCTTCGCGCCTGTTCTCCTGAAGATCTTTCCAAGTTATATTTGAACCGTGACGACGGCGGGGTGATTTCTTGCTCTTAAAATAGACGAAAATATCGTTTGCTATGCAAGTTCGCCCTACTTAGTTTAACAAAAATTCGTGAACCTTTGAAAACAAGTAATTTACTCACCTCTGTCCGGCTGGATGACAGGTATTCTGGTGCAAGTGATTTTCGTGGGGAAAATCCAATCTGAATAAAAAAATGTATATAAACGTGTAATCTGAAATTTCGCTCTCAAATTCAGTGAGTAGTATGTGATTTGGTACTTTATGAACTGGAAACTTCTTAATTAATTATTAAACTTAATTTACTGTACAGGGTAGCTCGATCAGTTCTACACTATTCTTCCTTGGGTTTCAGTAAAAGATCATAATTTATTGGCTAAGTATAATTGGTACAGAAAGAAACCTAAACCAAACACCTTTATTCATACTGGATCAGTTTCAAACTTTCAAAACTTCCTAGAAATGCAGAATGGATTTATCCCTTATTGGTTCAATGTTACTACAGGAGGAAAGCTAAAGGAAACTAACTTTACTTCTACTGGATATAACAATATCAGTTCTAATCTGTTCTTCCTAGAGAAAATGGAATCAAACCAGAGGCACTCAATCTCTTGAGGGGAAAGGCGTATCTCGACTAACCACCTTCTTAAGTGGAACTTACACGAAAAATCTGTGAACAATCCTCCGGAGAATGTTTCTTGAAATTGCTCGCATCTTGAATCTCTCCGTCTTCAAGTGTCAGTTCTTCTTCTTCAGAACAACCCCCACGTCCATTCACAAGTTTGTCCGAAAATGTAACTGATTTTCGCTTTCTCAGTTTGGTCGGCTGAACCACCTTGGCTAAAAATATTTTAATATGTTTACCACTCTGAGGTGGACGGAAAGCCTTACCAAGTTTCACAATTGACAAAGTTCTCCAAGGGGTAGTTAGTTATGATTTTAATGCCCAGAAGTTGTTCTATCAATGGTTGTGACACTTTAACCCATTGCGTTGCATTGCACCCTGATGTGCCCTATTTTATAAACATTTTACTCTGTCTAACGCCAGACGATCGTATTCGTCAAGGAGAGATCGCTGGCCCAAAGCAGGAAATAATATTTGTTTCTGGAGTTTTGGGGTCAACGTTTTTTGCCGAGCTCACTGATATTCTTCCTAATAAATTATTTTCTGTGCCTGTCAGCTAGAGATGCGCATCGGATCGGATTGGACGTTTATAATCCGACAATTGGCTAATGTTTAAAATCCAATCCGATCCGAACTTGTCTAATCCGAATCCGATCCGAGTTTTGATAAAGAATTCCGATCCCGGACCCGAAGAATCCTTTAATAAAATAAATTTCTCATTCAAGTGGAAATATTTAACCAAATAAATATAAAAGCAAGATTGTACATGTCAAGAAGCTGACAAAGTGACGTCCAATTGAATTATCAAACGAATAATGCAGCGACAACCGCGTTGCCGTGGATAATTAATTCATTTTATTTCGAATATCGAAGTCCGATCCGACTACGAAACAACTTTATCAATCCGATCCACCCCGAAATGAATATTTTTGTTCCGAAATGCGAACGAATCGGATTTGCACACCTCTATTGTCACAGCATTATGCAATGGCCTAAAATTTACTGCAAGCTAAGACAGGTCTGAAAATGTTCTGCCAGTTAAGCCAAATCCTAGATACCAGGATCCACCATTATTTCCTGCTATGGGTGCTCAATGGGTTAAGGTACAATATAATCAAAATACAGAACTGTACCTTGGGTCAAAACATTCTCTTGCAAAATTTTAGTTGGAGAGTTGACATCTACACCACTATCTTCAAATGCACTGCTGGTAAAATTCCTCCTAAATATAAAATCTTACATAAATTCAAGAAAAATACAATGATATATAAAATCATTTGTAATGTATACTTACAAAGGTGGACTTGATTCGCTGTCAGGTCTTGTTTCATTCTCTTTACTTCTTTTTGAAGTAATTTCTAAAGCGGGCTTCCCAGAAATAGAGTGAGAATATGCTCTTTTTGGTGATTTTACACCAGTGTATGGGGATGATAGTGGATTGTTTACTGCATCCAGAAAGTCATCAAGGTCATCACGTCGTCTGAAGATAGAAATGTGGAGTATTTGTGAAGATAATGGTGATTTTCTAATGGCAACTTGTAGTGGTGATGACGAATGTAATGTTGCTGATAATGGTGGTCATGATGATGATGGCATGTAGTAAAACACTGACTACCGGAACACCGGAACACCACCATTTTGTTTGGGGTTAGGGTTAGGATTAGGGTTTGGGGTTAGGATTAGGGTTAGGGTTGGGGGTTAGGGTTGGGGGTTAGGGTTGGGGTTAGGGTTAGGTGGTGTTCCGGTGTTCCGGTGGTGTTCCGGTAGTCAGTGTTTTACTACATGCCGATGATGATGGTGATGAATGTATTAACATACAGTTACTGATGATGATAGTGATGGTGGTGATAAATGTAATGTTACTGATGATGGTGGTTATGATGGTAAAAGTGGTGATGACACTGAAAGTAGTTATAGTTAGTGATTATAATCCAGGTGATAATGAATGTAATGTTGATGATAATGGGAGTAGTTCTACTGATGATGATGGTGGTGATAATGTGAGCAATATTGTTGATGATGGTGATAATTTATAATGGAAGTAGTTATAGTGGTGATGATAGTGGAGTTGGTGATGATGGTAATGATGAGGGCACTGGAGATAGTAACAGTAATGATAGTGATGACCATAAGATACCACAATGTTCCAAAAAACAAACTAGCTAGCTGACCTTTTCTTTACAGAATACGATTCCACCATAGAGCTATCAGAGTCATATGCTGATCGCTTTCTACAAATGTAATGATATTTGATAAACAAAGGCAATAACTACAACAACTGAGTATTAAAAGTCACTTAATATTCACCTGCTTTTCTGACCAAGGGCAGACAAAACAGATTGCCTGCTGCATGGATTGTCTTTTGTCCTTTCTAATCTTTTGTGAAGGATTGATTCACTAAATCACATGATGAAGTAAAAACAAATCAAGAAATTTACCATATCTTCTAAAATATTTATGTAATAGAGTTCTATAATAAGTTTATTAGCACTATGTTTACATGCTACAATTTGTTGCGTATGATTCATATTCTAGTGTATGAAAATTACTGCTGACATCACAAATCCTCATTTAGTTTATGGTGAAATTTGAAAGGCAAAACCATTTTATGAGTGCTTATGCAATTACATACTCCAGAATATGTATTGTACATGACAAATTGCAACATTATATAAACATTATACTCTTACTGTGCATGCTACAGCATATTCGGCAAAGGACCCAGCTTCATAAAAGTAAAATTGTCTGATATTAATAGTTCTGTATATAAATATTAAACTCACAGTGCAAAGCGAGAATCGTTATCACCAGGAGAACTTATCTTCACAGTTGAAATATTGTGAGGGATATTTCTTGAAGGACTTATAATACTGAACTGTCTTGGACTGTATCTTTCTTCAATGAAACTAGATGTTTTATCCAGTGAAGGTGGTTGTGGTAGCGTGGTGTCTGATGGATTGTAGTGTTTCTGAGGCATTGAGGGCACTGACTTGTTGTTGGGTGATAGGTTAAGTCTTGTTCTGTCTGGGTGATAGTAAGATATATTGCTGAAAGTAAATTGAGAAATTATTAACATTCGCAGGCCATGTCAAGAAGGAAAGGGTGGGCCAGGTGCAATGAATCACATTCCTTAATTGCAATTCTGTGCAATACTTTTTTCATTCTAAATACAATAGGATTCTGAATCGGCAGAGTCTGTTAAAAGCAAAGCCTAGCATTTATGAGCTGGCAATGGAAGGGACATACCGTGATGTATGTTATTGTCACAAACGTAAAACACTTTCCACAGTTAGACTATTGTGTTGGACGTCAGAACCTTATGCTACATAATTTTTATTGAAATGTATTATTATACATTTAGGGGCTGTCGACAAATAGAGGAACAAGTGGGGAACAAGTCCGCGATCGGTGGACGAAATCTATTTGTTGACAGCCCCTTAGGGTCTTTATAAATATATTTTTCCGAGGCATGTGCCAAGGCATGCCACACTATTCCCAGGATAACCTGTATATTTTCAGCATACAACATGAAACATAGCATTAAATAAATAAATAAACCTAATAAATTGTTCATATTTGGGTAGTATTAAGCTTACTTGAAAGATAGATGTCGTGTAACCTGGGACAAAAGTGGCTCTGGTGATCTTAAACTTGAGATGTGTCTTTGTTGTCGCATTTTGTACATTTGTAAATCATTAAACGGTACATTCTGTGTCAAAGTTGGATTTCTTCGGACTATATTTTTCACAACCCTCGTTCCATACCCTCTTGACTCCATATTTCTAGCAGTGGGACTTTCAGTATAATATGAATCATGGTCTAAATAATCACAATATTCTCCACTCTCATTGGGCTTGTTTTTAATTGCATTTCCATTTCCACGAGAATTTGAAAGTGAAAGAAAAAGAGCGCAAAGAAAAATAGTTATACTTATTAAAACTGCCCATTTTAAACCGTATAAGAAAAACGTTATAATCACCAAAACTATTGAAAATAACATCTCAGAGTCAGCCATCTTGAATTCACTGTTTGACTAAGTCGCTACTGCTCATGCGCAAGTAGAGCATGAATTTCCCGCCATTGATTGAACAGCCAATCATAAATACGTCCCTTTTCCACAAAAGTTGCTGAACCAAAGCTATTAAATCGGAGTTCTCTGGATTTTCTGAACACTAATTAAATCGAACCAATAATAGTCACATGACTGTTCTGACTGCCCCTACTTTTGAGTAGGGGCAGTCAGAACAGTCATGTGACCGTTTTCGGTTCGATTCAATTAGTGTTCCAAAAATCCGGGTTGCTCCATTTACTGTTCGGAGTATTCCCGAGCAGTAAACACCCTGGGGCGGTTGTTCAAAGGTGGGTTAGCGCTAACCCTGGGTTAATTAAATTTAACCTGCTGTTTTAGCTCGTGTATTTCTACAAGTATGTTTGTTTCCAAACTTCAAAAAAGTAAACTCCTATCGATCCAGAGACAAGATAGCTGAAGAAGTATTTCCAAATTTTAATATAGACAAGCTGTGAGGAAGTTTGCATTCAATTTTAGGTTAATCTGGGGGTTAAACTAACCCAGCTTTGAACAACCGGTCCCCTAACTTTGAGAAAGTAAAAAAAGGTCATATTACCTGTGGCTTTGTCTTTTAGAGTTTAATCTCTAAATCGCATTTAGATGTCAAACTAAAAGCAGAAATTAGCATTTGGCTGTCGAAAACTTGTAGAACTTACCTTCAGGTGCCTCCATTTTCCACTAGGCGGCTTTGTTCGTGCGAAGCGAAAAACAAATCTTGGCAATGTGGACACTAGATGTGAATGGTTAGCGAAAAATTTCGCCGCGAAATCAGAGGCCCACCGAGGGGTTATGACCGACAGGCGACATTCCTTAAAAAGGAGAGACAAACGACAGCTCCTGACTGGGGTTGTGTTATGGGTCAAAAGTGACAGCGACATTTATCACAATAAAACAAGTGACAAAGCAGCTACAAAATGAGTGACAAGCGACCTGGGTTACACCCTTGGTGAGCCTCAAATCAGTAATTCCTGCTTTTTTACTGTTCGCGCGAACAAATTCGCCTAGTGGAAAATGGGCTTTTAATAAGGTCTCTATTAGCTCACTTGAACTCACGTGAAACTCACCTAAGCAAGATATCCTCATGTGTAACTCATATAAAATCAGTCAGTTGTTTATATGAGAAACGAGCCGCTAGGTGAGCACATCTCAGTCAAGTGGCAAAACATTTTCCATACTTATCCCACCTGACCAGGATGGACATTTTTTCCCGATTTTGGCTTCTAATATAGTATTGAAAGGCACAGTTGAAAAATACAAACAAAACATGAACATTGACCAAAACAGACACTATTTGTATAGGTAATAGTATGGTTTCGAGTGCAATTTGGAAAAAACATGCACGAGTGAAAAAAACATGCACTATCAAAATTTGAAGTCATTGACTGAAAAACTCACGAGTCGAGTGTATGTTTTTTCAAATTGCACGAGAAATCATACTATTACTTATTAATAATATACATCAAAACATCTCCTAAATGTTTGTTTTTTTGTATTATATCTGCTGGAGATTGCAGTATCTTATTGGCTATCTTTGTTATTGTTTCATATTTTAAGCCAATCAGAAAGCCTAAATAGTCAATGAAATTTGCACCGTATTTCGAAAAAATTGCACTACTATTAGCCAATCAGAATTGAAAATTTTTTCCATGTATATCATTAAAGTCGTAATACAAGGTGCACGCAGTTTGTTTAGTTACGTAAAAATATTTAGATGTCGTATACAATGTCGTCCCACCGAGGTTGGATGCTAAGGTGGGATAAAAACACTCACATGAACACAGGGCCTTCGCTCGAAACGTCGAGTTTCTGCTTATTTTTTAAGGTAGTAATATAATCACTCAGCACAGCATTTTCACATTGGTACTACCTACACTGGTACAGACAGTTTTAGTACAATTCATCACACCCGGGGAGCATTCTGGCAAAACAAGTTCTTATGAAAAGACCATTACTAAAATACAAAGATGGTAATTGCGTTCAAGTATTTCCATGACAAAATTACGTTTTAAAATTTCCTTACCATTCTGTCATCCATCGCTTCAATTTACCATGATGGGGCTGGTGACTGACGCAAGGGACCATTCTTAGGCACGGAAGTCGTCAACAAAGAAGGTCGATTAGACGATTAGAGACAAAAGTCGAAATCCAACCTCAAAACACCGTCCTGGTTGTGAGTTATGATAGTCATGTTGATATCAAGTACAACAAGTCGTTTTGTCATCTTCGTGATAGTACTTCATGGAAGAATGTGAACGTGGTTCCCGCTCTACTTGACTCTGTTCAATCCTTCGTTAACGTTGACTCTGTTCAATCCTTCTTCAATGTTGTTTAATCCTTTCTTAACGAACAGTACCAAGTCAATGATGCCAACCAAAAGCCGAAAGAAGTTACGCTTACAATTTTATTGTAATTTCTTTAACTCCCATGTTTCAATAATTTCAGTATTTTCCAAACTTGAAAGTGTTTAGGAGAAATAATACACAATAGTATATATAGAAAGAAATTGAATTACTCATTGTAGCTTTTCAGGTAGCTACAGTTTAGAATATTTGAAGGAATATAATCTGGAACGGTCTCTGCCAGTGAGGTAGAGACGATAACAAGACAACTGTGGATTGATAGGGATACAACTACTTGAAAAATACAAGGAGAACTTCGACGTTTAAGCGAAGGCCCTTCATTGGGACGTTAGTGAGGTTGGGATGTCACATGTTAAATGAATGACACCAGACCGGCGACACTAAATTCCCAACGAAGGGCCTTCGCTCGAAACATCGAAGATCTGCTTGTATTATTCAGGTATTTGTATCACTCTCTCTCTTGAAGGAATAACCTTTACCATTTTGTTTCTTCGCGGAGCATTATGTCCAAAATTTAGAATAAGAATTGATTGTGTGGGAGGGAAAATACTGAAAATATTTCATCAAAGGAGTAAAGCATTACTAATTTTTACACAATTATGGATTACAAGTTCACTCATGGCCTTCAATGGCAAAACTGTTCCCGTGCATGTGCTAGTCTACATAATTATCAATTAATTAAAAATACATATATTCATTATACTTAGGAGTTAGGACATTAAAAAGGCTGGTTTAAGACTATTAGCCTCGGCAGCTTATGAATAGACCTCATAAAATCTTTTAAATAACATGCCTCGGTGTCAAAATTGTACTGATGGCTATATTTTACGAAGCTAAACCCAGGATCAAACGAGGATGAGAGTGGATGAGAGTTGGCAGTCACGCGAGCTTGGTTAGCTGTTCTTAATGCTTTCCCAACACTATCATGTATTTTATTTAAGTTAAAATATAGTTGGAACACACATCAGACCTTTATTTTGGTAATCTCCCCTGTGACAATTCGTAACTGTGAACTCTCATCAACTCGCATCCTCGTTTGATCGGGGATTAAGAAGCAGGTCTACAAGTTCAAAATATGAAATAAAGGAAAGGGTTGTAAGAATACTGATTTGTGCATTTTTTAAGGGTTGATGCAAGTTTTATAGCAGCCTTTTTACTGCCGTTGTAATTAACGTGTTCATAAAATATGCCTTCAAGTCATTTTCTTATTCTTATCAACTGGTGTCTTCACGCACGTACAATAATTACAATACTCGAAATAAGCATTCACCCATGCAGAAAGTACGACGACCCTCGGAAGTAGCCGTACGCCCAGATTAGTTGAATTGGATTTTTTATTTTTTGCCACTATGTCCATTCGCATAAAAGAAAGATTAGGTAAGAAAGTCAATATATAGGAGAAATGAGATGGGGTAAATATCACCGATATCGGGGGACATCCAAAAATCATGCATAAGGCGTTTGAAAGGAAGTCTCGTGGAGGTATAACAGTACAAGGGTGGAATGAGAGGAACGAAAGGCAAACTGATAGCAAGTTTTCAAGTTTGTTTGCAAACTCTAGCAAGCATGAAATTATGCAGGACTCTTTCGAAAACATTAGAGAAAGATGGGTCTGTAGTTTTCAAATATGTTTACATCACCATAGCTTTAAAGACAGGAATTATTTTGGCTATTTTGAGTTGTCTGTACGCATAAATGGTTTCGATGTGAGTTCAAGCGAATTTTTTATGAGATGCATATAGCTAGGTATATGAGATCAAAACAAGTGTTTTCCCATTTTTAGAAGAGATGCAAATCTCTCTTAAATTGTGGTAATTGTGCCTAGTAGTTCGAGAAATACTGTTTTTTCAACTGCAAGTCTCAAGAAGGGGAGATTTTAATTGCTAGGGATGAGCCAATGTCAGTAAAATATTTGCACTATTTTCAGTATTGAACAGTAATTTAATTTCAGTATTGATCAGTAATTGTCGAGTCTCGTGAAGAGCTCTTATTTTTGAAACTAAAAACTTCACCTATGAGTTTCCAAATTTTCTTTAAATCGTTCTTAATTCAGTCAAATTTGTCATCATTGTATATTTTAAAGGAAGGTACAGTGTATCGATGGATATCGCAATCTTTATTAGCTGCAGGAAAGCCGGGACCGATAATATTTTTGTATTGTAAGATGTATTTACTCTCAGACTTGGTCATCTGGCTGAATGTATTTGCCAACAAGATATCGTGATAATTGTTCAAAAGCACGAAACACCTTTGGAGGAAATAGTCCGCACGCGGACTGCTAAAACCGGGATGGGCCGTTACTTTTAGAGTTATTAACATTTTTATCAATGACACGAATAACGATATGATTTGATACAATATTCCATCAACACTTCCATTGCAATGACATGAGCAAGATGCAGTGTTTTGGGTGTTACTCCGTCGTAAGTGGGAAAACTTCTTCTGGTATCTATTAACAAGGGCCATGGTAGACTGGTGGTTTTCTGTGGTCTATTCGTTCATGGTGTTCTAGTCTCTCCTGCATGGTGGAGGTTTCTGAAAGTGCTAGTGGGTGACAATATTGTTGTACTGTATTTCCTTCACATTTTGCTCTTGGTCATGTAGCTGAATGTATTTGACAACAAGATCTTGTGATAATTGTTCAAAAGAAACTAAACGAGCTCACGCATTGAATATAAACAATTTACAGAAATGAATAGCATAAATTTAGACGTTTTAGCGCAAAACCTCTGACAAAGTTGTTTTTTGTCAATCTGCTGATATATTCTTCAATTTTAACCGAAATTGAACCAAACTCTTTGATAAAAATGGGGAATTGAGCAAATATCATCTGCAGTTGGTTATTGCAATGTCATGCAGTTGGTCATTGCAATGACATGACCAAGATGCAGTATTTTAGGTGTTACTCCGTCATAAGTAGGAAAACGTGTTCTGGTGTTATTAACAAGGGCCATGGTGGACTGGTGGTTTTCAGTGGTCTGGCTGTGGTCTATTCGTTCATGGTTTTCTGGTCTCTCCTGCATGGTGCAGGTTTCTAAAAGGTACTAGTGGGTAGCACAAAACTGGGTCACGATATCGTGCCTCAATATATATGTACATCTCTCATTGCTTTGTGAGTCTGCTCTTTTCTGTGTGAGGGATAAACTATTTTCGCTACGACAGAAGTTACAACAGTTACTTTTCTTTAAATTTAAATTTCTTCCAGCAAAATGGCATCTTTGTAGTTCATCGACAATCTAACGAGTCCGGCAAATGACTATTTACAGGCGTGAAACAACTATGAAATTTTAAGCTGCAATATAAGGGGAAAACATACTAAACGAAGATAGCGTTTTATGTTGTTGCTACATGAAAATTGGTTAAATGATGATGAATTTCCTTGAATTATACCTGCATATTTTTTCCACAAATGTTACACCATGGGCCATGTCTTGGTTCTTCTCGTGGAGGGTTTCCAAGGGGAGTTGATGGTTTTTGAAGAAATGCTTCTTGTGATGGCAACTGAAAAGATCTGAGCGCTCTGTCGTCTAGTACAGGCAATGGTGGTTCTCTCTGGTTTTCCTGCGGTTTACTCGTTTGTGGATCTCGTGGTCGATGTGCAGATGGGTGAGACAAATCTTGGTGACGAGACCGTGCTTCCACATCTCTATATCTTTCGTTGTTTTGCGTCGCGCCTTCTGTGTCCAAGACCACGATATTGCCATTTTCTGTTGGTCGTCCCCTGTGTCCATTCGTCTCTTGTCGTAGTCTATATCTTTCGTTGTTTTGCGTCGGGCCTTCTGTGTCCAAGACCACGATATTGCCATTGTCTGTTAGTTGTTCCATGTGTCCATTCGTCTCTTGTTGTAGTCTATATCTTTCGTTGTTTTGTGTCCAAGACCACAATATTGCCATTTTCTGTTCTGTGTACGCTCGTCTCTTGTCGTAGTGGGTTCCTGTTTTGCGTAATGCGGTAACACCATGCGGGCCATTCTTGTGAAGCATGACCACGGGCACGGTCATTATAAAACCGATTCAGAGTATGATGAATGTCTCTCTCATGTCGTTCCAACAATGTTAAAGTATAGAAAGTAAATTCATTTGTAAAATTTGACATCATGTACTGTTAACACACAAAGACAAAACTTCGATATTCTTGTGATGGCAACTGAGCGCTCTGTCGTCTAGTGCAGGCAATGGTGATACTGGTGATTCTCTCTGATTTGCTGCGGTTTACTCGTTTGTGGATCTCGTTTGTGGTCGACGTGCAGATGAGTGAGACAAATCTTGGTGACGAGACCGTGCTTCCACATCTTCCACGTTGTTTTGCGTTGCGCCTTCTGTGTCCGAGACTAAGATATTGCCATTTTGTCTACGGTGTCCCCTGTGCCCTCTTGTTGTTGTCTATATCTTTCGTTGTTTTGCGTCGCGCCTTCTGTGTCCAAGACCACGATATTGCCATTTTCTGTTAGTCGTCCCCTGTGTCCATTCGTCTCTTGTCGTAGTCTATATCTTGCGTTGTTTTGCGTCGCGCCTTCTGTCTCCGAGACCACGATATTGCCATTTTCTGTTAGTCTCCCCTGTGTCCATTCGTCTCTTGTTGTAGTCTATATCTTTCGTTGTTTTGCGTTGCGCTTTCTGTGTCCGAGACCACGATATTGCCATTTTCTGTTCTGTGTCCGCTCGTCTCGTGTCATAGTGGGTTGTTGTTTTGTGTAATGCGGTAACACCATGCGGGCCATTCGTGTGAAGCATGATCACGGTCATTATAAAACTGGTTCAGAATACGATGAATGTCGAGGGTCTCCAAGGCCTGGTTTACACGATCAAAGTTTCTGTGATCACAGCAGAAATTTCGCGTAAGTAAATTCCATAGAAATAATAAATAAGTACGTTGATCGATATATATTATTTCTATAGTTTTGTTAAGTTTTGAGGAATTTATATTGTTAAGTTTTGAAGAATTTGTAAGAAATGCTTAAGGGAACTGATACAGTGATTAACAGTTTAAAACTGAGTCAGTCCCCTCGAACATTTCTTACAAATCTTTCAAAACGTAGAATTTACCGATGCAAAATTCCTTCTGTGACCACAGAAACTTTGATAGTATAAACCAGGATTGCAAGGCGCTGATGGGTGAGACCCTGAAAGCTTGGTCACCAGATCGTTCCAACACATCTCTACATCTCTTGTTGTTTTGTGTTCCATTGTTTGTTTCCATGGCAAGGATATTGCCGCTTTCTGTACGACCGCTCATTTCCTTTCTCACTGAGTTGTAACACAATGAGATTAAATCGTGATTTTAATCATTATGTAAGTGGTCCCGTAGAGGAAGAGGGTTTCTCTCCTTTCTCTCCTGTCTAAAAGATCATTTTTAACTGTCATTGTTTCGTGCAGTATTTAACATCGTACCTTCGTACCCGTGTCAGGATAGTTTCCACATTTCGCAGGCCGTTGTAGTCGAGATGACCATTTACGACGACTTGATCAAATGGTATCTAATCATTCACAAGATAGTTTATCACAAACTAATAAACAATTTTTTGTATCACTTCAATTGGAATCAGCATTCTATATAAGATGAAGAAAAAATAATAAATTAATACAGAAGGACTAATAATGTATTGTATGATCTAATGAGTGAAGTTTTGTTTTGAGTCTTGTGACTTTGTGGAAAAGTAGATAGTTTTGTGAGATTTATTATTTCAGCAATCAGCTTTTACCTGCCATTGGCTTTTGTAGAATTTGCTGAACATCGTGTTTTCATACGTTGAGTTAGCATAGTTCCACATGGTGGAGGGCGTCTGCATTTAGGTGGCCATGAACGATAATTTCCTGAGGTGCAGGTGATGAATCAAGAGTTTGACCATTAAATGAGTGTTTGCGCTACTCGGAAAGGAATCATTCCAACATAAAGTAAGTATAATAAATATACCAGGTTCATGTATTGTATGGCTCGGTTACATGGGTTTGCTTTTCTGCATCTTCGCATATCTTAAGATTCGAATACTGAAATTCCATACACAGCTTAAACTTGCAAAGTAAAGTTTGAGGTAAAAACATTTTGTATTGTAGAAAGGTTAGCTTTTGCAAGGCCTGAATTTATTGAATGTCCCACTCCCATGTTTTCAAAGGATTTTTTTAGTTCCTGCACAAATGCTTTCAAATGTAGAATCAATTTGTTTTTACTTTCTTTATCTTTGGAAAATATTGTGAATTCTCCTTAACTTAAGACATCATCCCCTACTTTTTTGGGGGGAGTTCCGCTCTGCCGGCTACTTGCGATAAAGCTGGTTTGAATTTTTTTTTCATTGCAGTAGCATATAATATTTATTTTCATTCAGAATAATTCAGGATAATTCAAGGTATTTTGTAAAGTTTGTAAAGAGGATAAACGCGAGTCCATAAATTCCTGCGTGTTGATCATAATGAAATATATCCCAAATAAAAACAATGGCAAATTATAAAAATTCAAAATTCCAATATGATTCCTATATCATATATGCATGTCCTTCCCTAAAATCTAGAGTATAATTAAACTAGTATATGGTGAAGAAAAAATGAAAAGTTTCTGTTGAAGTTGACCGATTTTTTCATTAAACGTCTGGATCTAAACAAATGAAAAGAGGAATATTTCTACGGGCGCAGATAAAACACTATATTCTATGATTAATTATATAATTAATATAATACATCAATATGCACGATGTCCATATACATCGATATGATCCATATACAATTTCCACTCTGTCTCTATGCACTGTATTCTCTGATAGAAATGAAGGTCATTGAAATGTAGGTGATATGAAAATTAGTATAGAAGTGGTGGCTATTTTTTTTTATTTCTGGTTAAAAGATTTTTGTTTGGCCATGCTTCATTGTTCAGAATGACAATAACTTATGGTTCGTTTTCTCCCAATTAACATATTCGAAGTCGTTTCTATTTTTACGACTATTAATACCACTTGAATCTTTGCATATTGCCACAGTTCATAAAAGTAAACTAGAAGCAAGGGTCGTGAATGTAAACATATTTTCGAACATGTTAATTAGGGGCCGACCATTTAACTTTTGGGGGGGGGGGGGTGATTTACTGCTGGCAGGGAATTTTTTTCTGGGATCGTTACGTGCAAGATTTTTTTTTATCTCATCATCATGTACGATTTTTTTTGCCACACTTTCTTTCGCAGCATTTTTTTTCAATAGCTTATACTATTTAGATTCTTTAATTATAGTTAACGTTGAGTTTTCTAGCTTCATGCTTGCTCTTAATAATACATATTGCTATGAGGTATAACATTTGGTTCAGGGCCTTTTCAGAAGGATGTGTAACTGGAGAGGACATAATTAGCGGGGGACCTGGAGAAGTTTCAGTCGGCAAGTCTGTATCTAGGGCCGTAGCTAGCATGTATAGT